TGGTTAATGTTGTATAGGCTTACGTTTTTTAAGTCATGTTAAAAAAAAAATCTGAGCGGAAGATCTCGGCTTGCATTTTCACTCAAAGTAATCTTGACTCAGAAAAGGTTGTTGACCACTGTTCTATAGTTCTCCCTGTTAACACTACCAACGCTTCCCTTTACTGTGGCAACTGTGATCGAATCAACGCAATATCAGCCACTTTCAATGCAACATACCGACAACAAAAATGAACTATGCAAGAGATTTTGTTGTAGGCAGAACTCATCGGAGTAGGATTCTATTGCATTGACACGCATGACTCAGCCGTACTCTACACAGACCTGTGAGGCATAAACAATCAGAGCTGCATTTGGCCTATATGCAAATAGACCATTGCCATATATGGATCTGTGCCATTTACTTTGAACTAGACTGTGTTTACAGCATGAGCAGTTGTGAGTAGATACGCTCGTTTTGAGAGCGAGAGCTGCATGTAGCCACGTGTGCACATTTTGTTTTGTCATTTTGTTCATATCCTTTGCTAGATAGAGTTATTAGCCCAGTTATAGATCATTTGTAGTCAGCAATAGGGGAGTGATTGCTTCCTAGAAGAGCACACAACGTGTATATTTCTAGACATCTTTGAAAAGCGAGTCAGGTAAAGAGCTTTTTTTTTGTCTTAAAGGGGCAGTGTTGTATTTTGAGACAGGCTTGAATAAGCTTAGTAGCCAGAAGGCAGAGGGTAGCATAATTTGTCTGATTCTCTGTTATAATGGTATGGGGAATAACAACGCATTTTATTTTGTAAAGTAAACAACACTTTCAGTCACCTCCTTGTCTGATTGACAAGTGGACAAACGGGTTAATGTCAAGCCCTGCATATTTTTATTTTAAGGAAATGGAAATCAACTGGGAAACGGAAAAAAGCATTAGCGGTCAAAATTGGTTAGGCTAAGGATACGTTTAGGAACAAGGGTTAGGTTGGTTAGGCGTATATTTAGTGAGGTTAGTATAAGAGTTAGGGAAAGGCTTAAAAGTTAGCATTGGGTTAGAGTGGTCTGCCGCCGTTCATTTTCTGCCTGTTGAAACGACCTCCTTTTCATGAACACGGTCCAACAGTCATGGTTCGACTCAGGGGTTTGTTTTTGATTGTTGGTGTTTTGACTCTGGGTTGTGAGTATGAATGAAAGTATGAATGGGTGGCTTAAGGTGGGAGTGCAGGAGCACACATTTGTAAACCGAAACACAGTTAATTCTACATGACAGGAGCCTACATACAGACCCTATACTACCAACACACATCAATACAGACACATTGTGAAATCCAGTCCGTAAGACAAACATTTCGGTGATTTGTAACATGCGAGTCCTGAGCTGCAGTAAAGATGGATGGTTACATTCTATCAAGTGAAGCTGGTCTCACAGGTAGCAGTTAGAACACTGTGACATGATGTACGAGCAGCAAGTCTTACCTGTCCATCACACCTGTACATGTCACTCACATTCCTACCTACTGCCTGTACTCTTCATAAAATAACCCCCCCCCCGTTAGTGCTGGGGTAGATAAAAGCCCTGCACACCCTGTAACTCCAAAGAAGTTACCACCTTAAACAGAAAATGAACAAAATAGCTAACAAAACATGAAAACAAATCATTTATTGAAGGTTTCACAGGAACAACCATTACATAATATAGGTTTGCTACGACATTGTACTAATGAAATAATATTGATCACATAATGTAGATATTATATAGAGCTCACATACAACCCGTGATAAGACTACGCAATTTATATGTTCATGAATGATCTCCATAGAGAAGATATATATATATATTTTTTTTTTTACTATAGTTACAGTAAGTAATAGGCTATCAAGAAAGGTCAGAGAATGAAATTGGAAAGGCAAATAGATTAAACTACACTGTAAAATGAACAATTCACAGGCTTGAAGCTTAAGTTACAAAGCATTAACAAGCATGACAAGGGCGGCAGGTAGCCTAGTGGTTAGAGCGTTGGGCCAGTAACCGAAAGGTCGCTGGTTTGAATACCAGAGCCGACAATGTGAAAAATCTGTCTGTGCCCATGAGCAAGGCACTTAACCCTAACTTGCTCCAAGGGTGTAAAACAACACATTTCACTGCACCTATCAGGTGTATGTGACCCCCCCATTTTTTTTTGGGGGGGGGGGGGGGGGGTCTTACAGTTACAAGGCAAAGCATGAAGAAAACAGGCCTACTCAGACCGAACAGCCTACAAGAAAAACATGTTCCTACAACCTTTCTGTAGAGTGTAGAAAAGGAGGAAGACACAGAACAAAGGCATTCCATTTATAACATTTCAAGGTAACTTTATCAAACCAAAACCAACCAACCAAACGATACCAAGTTACAGTAACCTGATCACCCAGGCCCAATCTCCACAGGATGTCACAGTATCTAAAGGCTTGTGTGGGGGATGAAACCAAATGCAAATAAGGCAGAATTCCTAAGGACAATAAAACTCCTTTGCATACAGTAGTTTAAAGTTCACCCTGTACAGATACAAGTTACCACAGATCATACATCCACATAGATGGCATCAAAGTTCTCTTCAGAAGTTTCTGAGATACCAAACATGGAGGAAACAGCATCACTAACGCACACATTTCAACAGTCAGTCCGCTGGATACTGTGTGAGAGAGGCCTTTTGGCCTCTTGACGGGGGAAGGGCCCTTGAGTGTTTTCCTTGTTTTCCTGGGCCATTTAACATGCAGACCCAGAGGTGACAGAGATCACATAAGTTAGGGCTGAGCCTACAGGACAGTTTAATTCTGTCATTATCAAACCTGAGGGTATGTTCTCTTACAGGTGTCAGTTAGAATAAGCCTTTTCATATTCAAACTGACACAATGTACACTTGTGTTCTCGCTCTAGTGAATATTCTTCATGTGTGATTTAAGGGAACTGATCTGACTAAAGCATTTGTTGCAATCGTTGCAGCGATACGGTTTCTCTCCAGTGTGAATTCGCTTGTGGCGTGTTAGATCACCCGATGATGTAAAACCTTTCCCACATACAGAACACTTAAAAGGCTTCTCCCCTGTGTGAGTCATCATATGAAGTGACAGTTTTCTGCTATAAATGAACCTTTTGCTGCAGACATGACACTGATGTGATTTCTCCCCTGTGTGAGTCTTCATATGTTCTCTAAGGACTCCCTTCCAAGTGAAGTTTTTGCCGCAAACAGTGCACAGATACGGTTTCTGTCCCGTGTGAATTCCCTGGTGGTCTTTGAGATAACTCAATGATGTACAGCCTTTTCCACAAATAGGACACTTATGCAGCTCTCTCTCTGTTTTAGTCCCCGGATCTCTCTCTGTGTGGATCCTCATATGCTTTTTCAGATAACGTTTCTCCTGGAAGCACTTGCCACAATCACTGCAGAGATAAAACTGTTTCTCTGATTGATTTTCTCCTCGTTTCTCCCCTGTGTGAGTCCTCATATGTCTCGTCAGATCACATTTCTGAATGAATCTTTTGCTGCAAACATGGCATTGATGCGGCTTCTCCCCAGTGTGAATTCGCTGATGGATTTTTAGAACGTTTGGATATGCAAAGCCTTTTCCACATATAGGACACATATGCAGTCTTCTCTTTTTGTGACTCCTCAATTCTCTCTCTGTCAGAGTCCCTGGTTCTCTCTCCGTGTGAATCCCTGGTTCTCCCTCTGTGTGAGTCCCTGGTTCTTTCTCTGTGTGAGTCTTCATATGCACCCTCAGGTAACTCATCGTTCGGAAGCTTTTGCCACAATCGCTGCAGAGATATGACGGTTTCTCTCCAGAGTGATTCACCTCGTGTTGTTTCAGCCCACCCAATGATTTAAAGCATTTTTCACAAAGAGGGCACTTGTATGACTTCTCCCCTGTGTGAACTCTCATATGCTTTCTCAGTTCATGTTTTTGACTGAAAGTTTTGTCACACTCTTTACACTGATATGGTTTCTCCCCTGTGTGAATCTTCATATGCACTTTTAATGTTGCCCTTTGAGTGAAGCGTTTCTCACATTCATTACAACAATATGGTTTCTCCCCTGTGTGAATCCTCATATGGTCTTTTAATGATGACCTTTGAGTGAAGCATTTCTGACATTCTCGGCAACAATATGGTTTCTCCCCTGTGTGAGTCCTCATATGCTTGACCAGATGCCCCTTGCGGTAGAAGCATTTGTCACATTCTTTACACTTATGTGGCTTCTCACCTGTGTGAATTACCTGATGTATTTTTAAAAGACCTGAGCTAGTAAAGCTTTTAATACACACAGGACACTTGAAGGGTTTCTCCCCCGTGTGATTTCTCTGATGTACTTTATAATGGCTTACATTATAAAAACTTTTACTGCACACTGCACACTTGTATGGTTTCTCAATACCATGAAACTTCTGGTGGTGTTCCTTCAGGTAGCGTGGTCTTTTAAAGCACTTATTGCACACAGGACAGAGACATGGATTTGCTCCATGAGTTTTCTGATGTATTTTCAGAGTGCCTGGTGTGTTGAAACATTCATTGCACACAGGACAGCTGTATGGTTTTGCATCTGGGTGAGTAGTGCTCATATGCTTGTCGAAGTCAGTCTTGACTCTGAAGGATTTGCCACATTCTTTGCACAGATATCTTTTTTCACCTGTGTGAATTCGCTGATGATCTTTTAAAGAAGCTGTGCAAAGAAAGGATTCACTGCACACAGGACACTGCTGTGGTCCCTTTTTCTCACCTGTGTGAACGTTTTTGTGTCGCTGTAGACCGTTTAGTGATTTAAAGCTTTCACAACAGAAAGGACATTTGTGTCGTTTCTCTGCTTTGTGAATTCTCTGATGTACTTTTAAACTGACTGGTGCCTTAAACTGTTTAATGCACACAGGACACTTGTAGAGTCTCTTGCTTGTGTGACACTTCAATGGTGCTTTCTGCTCATTGGTTGTCTTGGCCTCAGTGCAGACTTGAGAGCTTTGTCCTTTCTTTGCCCGGGTTCTCTTTGACCCTGACGGTAGTTCTTCACTCTCCTCCTCATCAATACTTACAATGATTTCACTTGGCGCTGCAGAACAGTCTGGATTTACTGCAGAGAGGGGCTGAGAGTCACTGGTTGGTTCTGATGCTCTGTAGTCCTCTTCATCTGATTCTGATTGGGCCTGTTCAGTTGTGTTGGTGGGTAGAGAGTCCCTTTTGCTGTCCTGATCGCAGTCACTTTCCACACAGGGAGGAATAAATATCAACTGTATCACCTCTGTGGTAGCAGACCTAAGTCTTTGAAGCTGCTCTTCCTCCTGACTGGTCCTGAGTTTCTCCTGTTCCTCTGTAATCGGTGTGGGCTCTGGGTCCTCCTGCCCCAGACTGGGGCTCCACTCCTGCTCACAGTGCTGCTGCTGTTTAGGGGGAACCTCCTCTTCAGGGAGAGTTAGCTGTTGGGGGTCTGGAGAGGAAGAGAGGAGTAAAAATACTTAATAAACTTCACATTCTGAATTCTCTATGCCGTGCTTAGGGCACGCTCTGGGCACTGCTAGGGTTGTGACGGTCATGACATTTTGTCAGCTGGTGATTGTCAAGCAAATAACTCCCGGTCTCACGGAAATTGACCGTTAATTATCAAACACGTTTAGCCTCCCCTGGCTTCCACGCATAGCCCACAAGCCACTAGGGTTGGCAGATGTCTGGAATATCACATTTTCCCATTAACCTGTCCAAACATGGACCTGTCCAAACATGGACCTGTCCAAACATGGTTGATATACGATTGTATGGTCTATCTTTTCTTACCCGGGGCAGGGGGACCGTGTCGTTGCGTTGCCTAGTAATGCAGCCTGTGTCATGCACAAACCACCGATTTAAAGTCTAATCATTAGACTACAATGTGGAAATCATCTTACCAATATTGTATTTTCTTGTGTGCAAATAAATACATAAATATAAACTAATCATATGGTGATATGTGGTACGGATAACTTTGAATGGTGATTTCGGACTATTTCAACTGAGATCGAGTGCGCATGTTCATCATAGAAGACCTCACTAAGGAAGTCTTCTTGGGAGAGCGAAGCAAACAGTCACACTGTGCTCACCAGCAGGCCAGCGTAGAGCTCACATCCTCCCTACTGATGTCATTGGAGGAGATGATGACCCACTGGCATGGTGGAGTGGGAATGAGGGTCGCTTTCCGCTCTTGGCCAACGTCGCCCTCAAATACCTCTGCAACTGTGCAAGAAGTGTTCCGTCTGAACGCGTTTTCAGTTGGCCGTATTGTTACCCCACGCCGCACTCTATTAATGCTAGAACATGCATGTGTTCCTTGCCAGAAACCTTTAGGTAGGTTAATATATAATGAAAAGAAAAATAGTCAGAATGGTTCTTCACTGCACTTTTCCTTTGTTTAATTTTCAAAGCCTGTATTCACAGATGCGTCTTATTCAAAATAAATGTAGCCTGGGCTATAATATTCTGTTGTGTGCCTTAAACTTATTTGCACTGTTATTTAGTTGGTTAATTTCATACATATTGTTGACTTTATTTATTTTGTCTTGTGTAGCCTATCCAAGTGTGGGTTATTCTTGTTATAGGCAACATACATTTTGTGTTCCAGCTTATCGAAAGTGCTGCTGTGGGAGTTTTTATGTAATCCCCGTTGCGCAATTCAAGGACATGAATAAACACTTCCACAATAATATAAATATCTGTTTAGAAGTTTAACTTGTACAAGTAACGTTTACTGCAAATTGTATTGACAGTAGCCTAGTGTAGGCCTAAATTATTGGCTGTTTGGTTTGCAAGGATTTTCCATCGGCACACAATTTGTTTTTCCTAAAGCTTTGGTCAGGTGGAGGCCAGAAACCTATACGGTTCGTTTAAACTTCCCATTCAATTATTCTATCTTGCAATTGTTGGTTCTCCCATATTTTTTTTTAGGCTGTTCACAAACAATACTTTCTGAGATAGAACTGTTACTGGCCTGACACTGTCTGTGATTTATTTAGAATTCAAGGCACACTTAACCAGCATGGCTACCACAGCATTCTGCGGCGATACGCCATCCCATCTGGTTTGGGCTTAGTGGGACTATCATTTGTTTTTCAACAGGACAATGACCCAACACACCTCCAGGCTGTGTAAAGGCTATTTTACCAAGAAGGAGAGTGATGGAGTGTTGCATCAGATGACCTGGCCTCCACAATCCCCGACCTCAACCCAATTGAGATGGTTTGGGATGAGTCGGACGGCAGAGTGAAGGAAAAGCAGTCAACAAGTGCTCAGCATATGTGGGAACTCCTTCAAGACTGTTGGAAAATCATTCCAGGTGAAGCTGGTTGAGACAATGCCAAGAGTGTGCAAAGCTGTCATAAAGGCAAAGGGTGGCTATTTGAAAAATCTCAAATATAAAATATATTTTGATTTGTTTAACACTTCTTTGTTATCACATGATTCCATATGTGTTATTACATAGTTTTGATGTCTTCACTATTATTTTACAATTGAGAAACAGACGCCTCACAGGTCGTCAACTGGCAGCTTCATTAAATAGTACCCGCAAAACACCAGTCTCAACGTCAACAGTGAAGAGGCGACTCCTGGATGCTGACCTAGGTTGCAAAGAAAAAGTCCAGTGTCTGTGTTCTTTTGCCCATCTTAATCTTTTCTTTTTATTGGCCAGTCTGAGATATGGCTTTTTCTTTGCAACTCTGCCTAGAAGGTCAGCATCCCGGAGTCCATTGTTAACATTGAGACTGGTGTTTTGCGGGTACTATTTAATGAAGCTGCCAGTTGAGGACCTTTGAGGCGTCTGTTTCTCAAACTAGACACTAATGTATTTGTCCTCTTGCTCAGTTGTGCACCGGGGCCACCCACTCCTCTTTCTTTTCTGGTTAGAGCCAGTTTGCGCTGTTCTGTGAAGGGAGTAGTACACAGCGTTGTACGAGATCTTCAGTTTCTTGGCAATTTCTCACATGGAATAGCCTTCATTTCTCAGATCAAGAATAGACTGACGAGTTTCAGAAGAAAGTTATTTGTTTCTGGCCATTTTGATTCTGTAATCCAACCCACAATTGCTGATGCTCCAGATACTCAACTAGTCTCAAGAAGGCCAGTTTTATTGCTTCTTTAAAATCAGCACAACAGTTTTTAGCTGTGCTAACATAATTGCAAAAGGGTTTTCTAATGATCAATTAGCGTTTTAAAATGATAAACTTGGATTAGCAAACTACGTGCCACTGGAACACAGGACTGATGGTTGCTGATAATGGGCCTCTGTACGCCTATGTAGATTTTCCTAAAAAAAAATTATCAGCCGTTTCCAGCTACAATAGCCATTTACAACATTAACAATGTCTATACTGTATTTCTGATCATTTTGATGTTAAGTTAATGGACAGAAATTGCTTTTCTTTCAAAAACAAGGACATTTCTAAGTGACCCCAAACTTTTGAACGGTAGTGTGTGTATGTATGTATGTATGTGTATATATATATATATATATATATGTGTATATATATATATATATATATATATATATATGTATATATATATATATATATATATATATATATATATATATATATATATATATATATATATATATATACACACACACACACACACAGTGAGGGAAAAGTGTATTTGATCCCCTGCTGATTTTGTACGTTTGCCCACTGACAAAGAAATGATCAGTCTATAATTTTAATGGTAGGTTTATTTGAACAGTGAGAGAGAATAACAACAACAACAAATCCAGAAAAACGCATGTCAAATGTTATAAATTGATTTGCATTTTAATGAGGGAAATAAGTGTTTGACCCCCTCTCAATCAGAAAGATTTCTGGCTCCCAGGTGTCTTTTATACAGGTAATGAGCTGAGATTAGGAGCACACTTAAAGGGAGTGCTCCTAATCTCAGCTTGTTACCTGTATAAAAGATGCCTGTCCACAGAAGCAATCAATCAGATTCCAAACTCTCCACCATGGCCAAGACCAAAGAGCTCTCCAAGGATGTCAGGGAGAAGATTGTAGACCTACACAAGGCTGGAATGGGCTACAAGACCATCGCCAAGCAGCTTGGTGAGAAAGGTGACAACAGTTGGTGCGATTATTCGCAAATGGAAGAAAACACAAAATAACTGTCAATCTCCCTCGGCCTGGGGCTCCATGCAAGATCTCACCTCGTGGAGTTGTAATGATCATGAGAACGGTGAGGAATCAGCCCAGAACTACACGGGAGGATCTTGTCAATGATCTCAATGCAGCTGGGACCATAGTCACCAAGAAAACAATTGGTAACACACTACGCCGTGAAGGACTGAAATCCTGCAGCGCCCGCAAGGTCCCCCTGCTCAAGAAAGCACATATACATGCCCGTCTGAAGTTTGCCAATGAACATCGAATGATTCAGAGGAGAACTGGGTGAAAGTGTTGTGGTCAGATGAGACCAAAATGGAGCTTGTTGGCATCAACTCAACTCGCCGTGTTTGGAGGAGGAGGAATGCTACCTATGACCCCAAGAACACCATCCCCACCGTCAATCATAGAGGTGGAAACATTATGCTTTGTAGGTGTTTTTCTGCTAAGGGGACAGGACAACTGTACCGTCAAATCTTGGGTGAGAACCTCCTTCCCTCAGCCAGGGCATTGAAAATGGGTCGTGGATGGGTATTCCAGCATGACAATGACCCAAAACACACGGCCAATGCAACAAAGGAGTGGCTCAAGAAGAAGCACATTAAGGTCCTGGAGTGGCCTAGCCAGTCTCCAGACCTTAATCCCATAGAAAATCTGTGGAGGGAGCTGAAGGTTCGAGTTGCCAAACATCAGCCTCGAAACAATAATGACTTGGAGAAGATCTGCAAAGAGGAGTGGGACAACATCCCTCCTGAGATGTGTGCAAACCTGGTGGCCAACTACAAGAAACGTCTGACCTCTAATTGCCAACAAGGGTTTTGCCACCAAGTACTAAGTCATGTTTTGCAGAGGGGTCAAATACTTATTTCCCTCATTAAAATGCAAATCAATTTATAACATTTGACATGCGTTTTTCTGGATTTTTTGTTGTTGTTATTCTCTCTCACTGTTCAAATAAACCTACCATTAAAATTATAGACTGATCATGTCTGTCAGTGGGCAAACGTACAAAATCAGCAGGGGATCAAATACTTTTTCCCCCTCACTGTACATACACATATATATATATATATATACACACACATATATATATATATATATATACACATATACATACATACATACAGTGGGGAAAAAAAGTATTTAGTCAGCCACCAATTGTGCAAGTTCTCCCACTTAAAAAGATGAGGGAGGCCTGTAATTTTCATCATAGGTACACGTCAACTATGACAGACAAATTGAGAGAGAAAAAATCCAGAAAATCACATTGTAGGATTTTTTATGAATTTATTTGCAAATTATGGTGTAAAATAAGTATTTGGTCAATAACAAAAGTTTTTTTTCCCCACTGTACATACACACATATACACACACATATATATATATACACATACACACACACATATATACACATATACATGTATTTGATTGTATATGTTATATACAGTGGCTTGCTAAAGTATTCACCCCCCTTGGCATTTTTCCTATTTTGTTGCCTTACAACCTGGAATTAAAATAGATTTTTTGGGGGGGTTTGTATCATTTGATTTACACAACATGCCTACCACTTTGAAGACGGAAAATATTTTTAAAAAAAGAAATAAGACAAAAAAACAGAACTTGAGCGTGCATATCTATTCACCCCCCCAAAAGTCAATACGTTGTAGAGCCACCTTTTGCAGCAATTACAGCTGCAAGTCTCTTGGGGTATGTCTCTATAATATTGGCACATCTAGCCACTGGGATTTTTGTCCATTCTTCAAGGCAAAACTGCTCCAGCTCTTTCAAGTTGGATGGGTTCTGCTGGTGTACAGCAATCTTTAAGTCATACCACAGATTCTCAATTGGATTGAGGTATGGGCTTTGACAAGGCCATTCCAAGACATTTAAATGTTTCCCCTTAAACCACTCGAGTGTTGCTTTAGCAGTATGCTTAGGGTCATTGTCCTGCTGGAAGGTGAACCTCCGTCCCAGTCTCAAATCTCTGGTAGACTGAAACAGGTTTCCCTCAAGAATTTCCCTGTATTTAGCGCCATCCATCATTCCTTCAGTTCTGACCAGTTTCCCAGTCCCTACCAATGAAAAACATCCCCACAGCATGATGTTGCCACCACCATGCTTCACTGTGGGGATGGTGTTCTCGAGGTGATGGGTTTGCGCCAGACATAGTGTTTTCCTTGATGGCCAAAAAGCTCAATTTTAGTCTCATCTGACCAGAGTACATTCTTCCATATGTTTGAGGGAGTCTCCCACATGGATTTTTGCGAACACCAAACATGTTTGCTTATTTTTTTCTTTAAACCATGGCTTTTTTCTGGCCACTCTTCCGTAAATCCCAGCTCTGTGGAGTGTACGGCTTAAAGTGGTCCTATGGACAGATACTCCAATCTCCGCTGTGGAGCTTTGCAGCTCCTTCACGGTTATATTTGGTGTCTTTGTTGCCTCTCTGATTAATGCCCTCCTTGCCTGGTCCGTGAGTTTTGGTGGGCGGCCCCCTCTTGGCAGGTTTGTTGTGGTGCCATATTCTTTCAATTTTTTAATAATGGATTTAAAATGGTGCTCTGTGGGATGTTCAAAGTTTTGGATCGTTTTTTATAACCCAACCCTGATCTGTACTTCTCCATAACTTTGTCCCTGACCTGTTTGGAGAGCTCCTTGGACTTCATGGTGCCGCTTCGTTGGTGGTGCCGCTTGCTTGGTGGTGCCGCTTGCTTAGTGGTGTTGCAGACTCTGGGGCCTTTCAGAGCAGGTGTATTTATACTGACATCATGTGACATTTAGATTGCACACAGGTGGACTTTAACTAATCATGTGACTTCTGAAGGTAATTGGTTGCACCAGATGTTATTTAGGGGCTTCATAGCAAAGGGGGTGAATACATATGCATGCACCACTTTTCCGTTATTCATTTTTTAGAATTTTTGAAATAAGTTATTATTTTCATTTCATTTCACCAATTTGGACTAATTTGTGTTTGTCCATTACATGAAATCCAAATAAAAATCAATTTAAATTACAGGTTGTAATGCAACAAAATAGGAAAAACGCCAAGGGGGATGAATACTTTTGCAAGGCACTATACCTCGTTTTAGCAAGCTCTTTGGCAGCAAGCTAAGCTTTTTTAGCTATAATATTGAGTTAGTTTGTTTTTCAAACATTAGCTGGCTAGCATCAAGTGTAGGCGATAGAAAAATGGCCTTAAAAACAGCTTTAGATTAGTTTAGAAGACTGAAGTTGTTGTTGTTTTTTTTTACCGGAGAATTACCTTTGATACATATTTTTATAACTAGCTAACTCCTTGTTCTGTGTACTATAGGTGCCATTAATGTAGCAGATAGGATCTTTGTTACCACGTGAGTTGCGTCAGGCAGGCTAGGTAGTTAGCTACTAAACTTCAAGTTGAAACAGTTTTAGTTACCTGAACCTAGTAGTGAATACGATACGTCCACGGCTAGTGATTCAGCAAACACAATATGTTGTTAACCGATTGCTTGGTGTAAATGGTCGCTACAAACCTGCTCCTAAATGATCCAGAAGAAGCCCCCGTAGACGGTCGTTCTCTCCCTGAACCTCTGCTACTGTCTTTTCTACCACAACAAATATATCCACTGCCGCTGTTGTTAGCCGCTCCTGGTACTCTTCTAACGTCTTCTCCGCCGAACCAAATATCTCCATAGCCGCTGCTGTTAGCCGCTCGGTAATAAACACACCCAACACCTGTAGTTTGGACATTTTAAGGACAGATCAAACTCCAGACGCTCAAACTACATATTCCTATTAGACCCACACTTCGTGCTGAAAACATGCAACTGAGCACCATCACAGCTATGAGGTACGCAAGAATAACTAAATACTTCCGGGTCATGAATTTGTGGAATCGTTCAGAATAAGAGTCCTGTCCTGTATACTTTGCAAATTAATAATTATGGAGAAAATGATGGAGAATGTGCACAATTATCGAAATGTTATACTACTTATCATACAAAGAATAATTTAAAGTATTTCTATAAGATGTTATTATTATTGTGTGTTTTTTAAAGCCTAAGTGGTCAGCAATGTTTTTTGCGTGGGTACTCGCAAAAAACATCATTTTACTCCTATCATTTATTGCAGCATACATAATTGCCTGTATGTTGTGTTGCAGTAAAAGGGGGGTACTCAGGATCACTTCTACTTACCAAATCCACAGAGTTCACACCCCCAGGATCATCATTGCTATTATTGTGGCCCTTAAAGATTGGGAAATCCGCTTAAATCGAAATATTTGCATATTAGATAGGTTTTATTTACACAAATACATGTGCATAGGTAATCCCTATGACATGTCGTGTCTACACTTGACATATACATGCAACGTCTGCTATCAAAATACGAAGATAGCATTGAAAAGACGCACAAAAGTCACTTTGTGTTCAGATCTGGCTGACCACTTCAGGAGGTGGTCAGGGATGCATTGTGTGCGGATTTCTCCTCGGTCTGGAGGCGACCAGGCTACCGAAAGCGCATACAGTGGGTGACGTCATCAGCACTCCTCCCACAAGTCTCCAGAAAACATGTGTTTTGGGACCGAGAGGCACCTTTTCATTATAACTTTGGTGGAAATACGCGTTCGGAATTCCATGATCAGAACTCTATGAAGTCTAGACACAGCCTATTGTATGGAGCGAGATACCTGCCAAAATGTTGAATGTAGGTACTGTTAGGATGGTAAGAAAATCCATATGTAAATTGTTATGATCTTAAGAAAAGCCATGCGTGAAACATGAAACGTAAACATTACAATTAATCTGTGAACATACAAACACCATGTTACGATTACGGGCCAACATTTTCGGCTTGAACAAATCTTAAGTTGCAATTCTGACGTACAATAACACCTTTCAGAGTTTTGGCAGTTTCATCTCATCAACAAGAAAAAGGTACACCAAAAGGCCTGTGATGAGTGCCACATGAACAAGCATAACACAGTATAAAAAAAAAACGGAAGTCAGGGAAACCAGAATGAGGTATTGTGCACGTTTTAAAGTTAAAAGTCTCCATTCTTTATTACTCCTCAGTTGAGTTTACTTCACATTTAGGTAGCTAATGTAATGGATTTGTTTGCCAGCAAAAGTCTAGATAGCACTAGCTGTATTATGCCTACAACAATGAAGTTTCAGTCCGCTAGGTGTATCTCTACAGCATGGGCATATGGACTTTGAAATGAACAAGGGAGAGGTTAAACATAGGCATGAGATTATTCCCACACTTTACAATAACTCTGTTGCAGTGGTCTTAGGTAGTCTCCGTATAGGCTATGCCCTCCATCGCCACACCGCTGCCCAGTTGAAGAGCTTGTGCTCTCCATGCAGCACCACAGCACCATGCGCCTTCGGAAAAGCATCCCTCAGCTTCAGATGTCCTTCTGGAGGCATGCAGCCATAGAGTCATTATACCCTAATGTAGGCCTATTTGCCTACTAGCCAAATAAAATGCAGAGCATGCATGATGCGTGCAACTCGTAATTTCAACATATTTTAACATTTAATTCATCCTTCATTCAGTTCAGTCAGTCAGTATGTCATCCATTTAGTCATTTGTCTGAGTTGCAATAGGAACTCAATCAAAGAGAATAGAACAGTCTTATCCATTTGTTTTTTTAAATCCATGTGTGTATTCAAAATTATCTAAATTCTCCAAATGTCTTTAGCCTATCACATTAATAATTCAACGTTTAATTTAGGCCTATCCAAATAAAAGAATAGGCCTTCAACTTGTAGGCATTGCAATTTAGGCTATCATTTTGGGTACTGGTGTCTTGCGGAATAATTTTAGAACTCTATTTGAGTTTTATAACTGTTTTTTTATTATAGGCTCCCCTTAAAAACAGACCCTAGTTTACAGGCCTCTAAATACATTTTAAACAAAATAGTTGAAGGAGCACGTGCAGTGGCTGATAGGGGAAACAGATCTGGCAGTAAGAATAGGCTATATATATAGTCTTGACCACTTGGCTATTTCGCTCAGGACAGGTTATAGCCAAGACTTAATCAATATTTAGTTTTGTCTTATTTATTGATACTGGATATAGCCTCTGCGTGATGGGGTTGTGCAACGCAAATGGCTCTAACAAGCCTTCATACAGAGTGGAATTTACTAATACAACAGTCAAAATGCCTAATATAAGGCCTACAGTGCGTGCTCCCAAATACTGGAAAAAGTGTGATTCATTAGGTTACATGATCACCACAGTAGCCCCACGCAGCTATAAAAATAAATTATGCAATTATATGGCCATTAAGTAACACACAACAGCATGGCATATTTAGAGAGCGCAACAGGGCCTAAATCATATTTACTTTCTATGTTGCAGCTCAGGCGGTTATTCTAGACAAGGTTCTTCTGTGTCTTTATCGTTCTCACACAAGTCATTTGCTGAAGGCCCAAACCTATACTACGCCATGTACTGGTATAACATCGTTATTGAATGCAGTTCTAAAACAATTTCTAGACTTTTATTTTGGAAATGAAACTGGAAGCTGCAAAGCAACTCTAATGTCTGGGCTGGAGTTGCTTGATTGACTAGCTAACTTCGACTAGCTATGTTCGGTTCATGTCCTTTGCAGATGCCACATTAATGACAAAGGATGTACATATAAAAAAGATCTGTAACCGGAGTAAAGGGAGACGTAAAGTATGAATTGAACATGTAAATGTTCATTCATAGTCGTAACATAGAGTATGTACGTTTACAGATCTAATTTAACGTTTACGTTTCATGTTTCACGCATGGCCTTTCTTACATCTTAACAATTTACGTATGGATTTTCTTACGATCCTAACGATATGTACGTTCAACCTTTTGGCAGCTATCTCGCTCCATGCTATTGACTCCTAATGATAAGGCCAAACTGTCTTTGGCCTTATTCTTGCTAGGTGTCGCTTATTCTTGCTGGCCTCACATAGATCTCCTCAGCAAAATCTAAAATGTACTTCCGGGTCACGGAATTTCGGAAATGTTCAAAATAGTAGTCCCCAACGTCATAGTAGAATACAGGGATGGAAATCAAGCTAGCCTGAGGCTAGTACTTTTCATATCGGGCTAGTAGAAAATGTGCCCAATTTATGGAGCTCTGCACTGGCTAGTAGGCAAATAGGCCTACATTAGGGTATAATGACTCTATGGCTGCATGCCTCCAGAAGGACATCTGAAGCTGAGGGATGCTTTTCCGAAGGCGCATGGTGCTGTGGTGCTGCATGGAGATCACAAGCTCTTCAACTGGGCAGCGGTGTCGCGAAGGAGGGCATAGCCTATGCGGAGACTACCTAAGACCACTGCAACAGAGTTATTGTAAAGTGTGGGAATAAGCTTACGCCAGACTTAGCATACGTTTAACCTCCCCCTTGTTACTTTCAAAGTCCATATGTTCATGACCTGATTCATATAAATCATGTAAAATTATTAGAAATTCATATTAACCCCTCCTACAGAATATGCTTTGGCAAGATTTTGAGTGAAGAAATCAATATCAAAATATTATTTTTTTTTTTTTGGAGTGGCAAAGACTCCAGTGGTTGTACATAATTCATAGATTCACCAAACATCTATTATTATTCTATGTTTCATTATTCCTGGTAGATACTACTGGTTATATTTGCAGACAGAGCCCAGAGAATGGGATGGTGCAATATTGAATCAGTCATATTTTGATAAGGTGCATGCATTGGGATGTCCACGTCACCCAGAGATATGCATATGCTGTAGAGATACACCTAGCGGACTGAAACTTCACTGTTGTAGGCATAATACAGCTAGTGATATCTAGAATTGCGCTGGCAAACAAATCCATTACATTAGCTACCTAAATGTGAAGTAAACTCAACTAAGGAGTAATAAAGAATGGAGACTTTTAACTTGAAAACTTGCAGGATAACTATTTCCGGTTTCCCTGACTTCCGTTCTTTATACTGTGTTATGCTTGTTCTCGTAGCACTCCTCACAGGCCTTTCGGTGAACTTTTGTTTTGTTGATGAGATGAAACTGCCAAAACTCTGAAAGGTATTATTGTACGTCAGAATTGCAACGCAATATTTGTTCAAGGCTGAAATGTTGGTCCATAATCGTAACATGGTGTTTGTATGTTCACAGATGAAATGTCAGGATTACGTTTGATGTTTCACGCATGGCTTTTCTTACTAGCATAGCAAATTATGTATGGATTTTCTTAAGATCCTAACGATATGTACGTTCAACCTTTTGGCAGTTATCTCGCTCCATACAAACTAGCCTGTCTGCTAGAGAAACCCGGGGAAGATCTCAATTGCATACTCCTCCTGTCCTCTCCTTCTCAAAAACCCATTAGAGGAGAAGGTCAGAGAGGAGGAACCTCTGGCTTTCTCATCCAATGGGTTTTGAGGAGATGAGGAGAGAGGACTAGGAGTATGCATTTGAGATCTTACCTTTGTCTTTTCAAATATCGCATCGCACAGATTTTTGACCGGAGCCATTATTTTCCTTTTAGATTGGTGTGTATTGTTGTGAATTGTTAGATACTACAGCACTGTTGGAGCTAGGAACACAAGCATTTCTCTACACCCGCAATAACATCTGTTAAATATGTGTATGCAACCGATCAAATTTGATTTGAGCTTCAATCAAATAAAAAAAGTAAGGATCCAATGACAGACAAAAGTCCCCCACTGAACAGAGAATGGGTTTGGGAGACTGTACAGTACATCTCTACCTGATAGAC